TCTTCTTGTCATTCCTACTGACTGTGAGCATGAGGTCTGAGATGCGCTCAATCTTGGACTGTCTCGTGGTGATACCGTGGGCTCTGCCAGCCACTGACTGGCACAAACTAGATGTGGTTTAGCATTCCATGGAGGCTGGAGGGCACAGGCTAATGCATTAAGCATTGCTGACCTTTGCATGTGATCTGGATTGTTCTCATTTGAATTCTCTACCCTAAAGAAATGCACTAGCAGAAATCTCAATTGTGCATACTTTCCTAGGTTCTATATCTGTATGTATATTCATATCCATATCCATATCTTTATCTGCATCTATCTGTGTCTATGTCTATGTCTATGTCTATATCTATATCTAATCTATATCTATATCTGATGGAGGATTTGAGGGGAAAACAAGACAACAGGAAAATGAATGTGGAAAGCTAGAGATAATGACTCTTTTCTCCTCACTGATCTTTTCCTCAGCCACTGTATTATAACTTTAGTATGTTCCTTTTGTTCACGTTTTTGTTTAATAGTAGAAAAAGATAAGAAAGCATGAAATTTTTTATTATCTAATAGTTACTATAGAAATGATCTTCATATGGCTGTCATTCTCAGGCAGACATCATTCAGTCAGGATAAGGTTTGTGCCCATCAGCCATTCCGAGTACATCAGAAGGCAGCTGTTGTACACGGCCTTCGCACCTTCCGTCTGGTCTGTGACAGGCGGACAAGGACAACAGTGCTCAGCAGGCTGGTACTTGTCAAGTGAAGCCAGAACACCTTCCAGAGGGATTTGAATCGGCTCAGGTTTTATCATTCGTGGCTTTATTTTTGAGGCATTCCCAGAGTTATAATTAGAGATACGTGAAAGAGAAATAGCCTGAAACATTGCTGATGGATGAACTCTACCTACATGTGCAGCACATTTTTAAAATTATTTTTGATACATAGCATATATTTTTGTTCCTTTTAGACATATTTTGGAAAGGCTACCTTGCTCACAGGAGTTGTTCTGAAGAGGAAATGATGGGGCCCCTGGATATGGTGTCACAGTGGATAATTGCTTATGTGGTAGAACATCAGGAATTCCATCCTTACCCCTATCTCACTGCCCCCCAAGCACAGCATATAAAATCCTAAAAGTCTCCATAGGAAATGGCATTTTGAAACTGAGAGGCCATGACTATCTTTGAAAAGACACTCTTTTATATTCTGAAACAAATGAATTTAGATAACACATTAAAGTAGGGAAATACATGGTTTATATCTCACATAATAATAATAATGGGGATCATTTCCATTTTCTATTATTGTCTGCTAGATAAATCCACCTTTAATGGGAAGCATCTGAGATCATTTTGCTTTGTCACAGGTACTATGTAGAGTAAGAGACAGCTTTCTCTTCTCTGTGTCTGGTGTGTTGGAGCTGGTGCAAGGTCTTGCCTGCTTTTCATTCTAAGAATTGGGTTCTCGTGCTCACAACCACCTATCAATGCCTCCTCTTCTTTTCTGTATTCACAACAGGGTGTACATTATAATGATGCTATAAACTGCTCCCCCTGCAGGGATGGTGGTTTGATTACTAGGACTGGATTTAAAGATTTAATCTGCTCACCTTCTTTCACTCAGAATTGTCAACATATGCAAGACTGACAGGGATAAGGACATGTGGGGAGTTTAAGGTGGAAAAAACACTATCTTTTTTGCTCCTCCTGTTGGACCTTGCTCCCAGCTTGTCACCATGGAGTTAGTGTGGAGTCACAGCTTCGGCCATGGGTAGCTTCGTTGAAGCTTACGTGCAGACCTTTGGGGTCACTAGCACATGAAGAAATACAGTCCTTAAACCTGGAAAAGCCCACCTAAGCCTCCTTTCACTTGTTCATAGCTTCAGTTAAAAAATATTGACCCTTCTGCTATTTGTTGTTCTTCTCTTTTCTCTCCCCAATCCACATTCACTTTTTCTAATGATCTCTAGCAGAATATACACTAAACTAGTGGGCCAGACACTATATCCTTGGGTTGATAGAAAAATTAAAACCCTCCAAGTATTAGCCTCACTAAAGGTGAACTGAATCTGTGGTCAGGAAGTGATTATTGTAACTCCTTGCTATCCGGTGGCTAAAATTCCACTTTCTAAACTGTACGCCTTTAGTTTGAGGAGATGATCCATGTACCTTTCAGATCCACTGGGTGAGGCGGGGCTGGGGACCCTCTTACACAAGAGCTGACTTGCATCCTTTCTTGTGAGGAGGTAACGACTCAGAAAGACCTCTGCTGAATTTCACACGTATCCATTTCAGGAGTAATGAGCCTTTGGAGAAGCAATAAAGCATCTTCCAGCCTTAGTTTTTAAATATGTAAAATGAGCATAGTAAGTGATGAAATAGTTTTGATGATTTATTAATTCGGGGTAATATAAGTAAAGTGGCTGTCACAGTCTTGGTGTAGGGTAGATCTTAATTAATGCCTGCGCCTTCCTCCTGTTGGACTGCATTCGCTGTGAAGATGAGATTTATGTTTTCTGTTCCTCCTGTGGCTTCCCACAGTCCATTAGAGTGATCTACATACAGAAGTTAATGTTTACGGGATGATGCTACCTGATTAATATGGAATTTAGTAAATGAAGGTAAGCGGTTGGCTGGCCCCAACCCCCATGGACTTGGCAGTTGTGTATCTTTCAGAGCAGAAGTGCCGGGGGAAGCCTGATGTCTATTGCAGGCATGCACACTGATGTGTGATTAAAGTTAAGTGCTAACCAGAGAATCCAAGGTTTTTGTTTTATGCTGAGCTTGTGCTATGATCTGATCCTAGTTAGAGTCAGGACAAGGGCAGCACAAATCAGCGACTGAAAGAATTCATTGACTGAGGAGCTGTGATCTATAGATTTATGGTGGGAAGGATGCACCTTGATTGATAGAGGAAAACTGCACATGCCCCACCACGGCAGTGAGGTGTAGGAATAGGACACCCAGAGGCCCTCTGAAAAGACTGCTCAATTTCTGAGCTGGTTGTCAAACGTTGTAAATCATGGAGACCCATGCCGTGTCCTACTCAAAGACGTAAATTAACAAACATAGATGTCAGTAAGTGGAATATAGGCATCACCTGTAGGAACAGAGGTCATCCAAAGTGTGTGGCAGTGAGAGCTCAGAGGTCAGTGTAGTTTGCTGCTTACGTGTAGTTTAGAGCCCTGTATGTTTCAGGCATCTCTACTCGAGGTGGCCCAGGAAGGGAGCTGAGCCCTTCCTTGGGTTTTATTTTGACTGATTAATAACATAGACTGGGACTTATGATCTATAGAGTCTAAGAGTCTCTTTTAAAGGGAGGTCATGGGTTAACCCTAGACCAAGAAAACCCAAATCCAGCAGTTAGGACTCTATAATACTTGCCCAGCCCTGCAATATTCTAAGGAAGCTTGGCTCCCTCTTGTGGCCTAAAACCATGTGTCCGTTTGTTCTAGCCTCCTTGCAGTGCTAAGGGTAGCCAGTCTTTTGCCACCTGCACCTTGAGCTTTGTAACCTTTTCGTCTGCTTACTATTGGCGGAATGAGAGGCATGGCCCTGTAAAAACGATGGGAGAGACATACCTGTCTTTGTTACCCCTCGTGCTTCCTAACATGTCCTCTTGTTGAAAGGGAGATGTAGCATCTAACTCACTTTCTGGAAACTCAATGTTTTCATGCTATATTTCTATCAAAGACTCATTTTTTTTTACTTACCTCAAGGCATAAATGAATACTAATTTTTAGATGTCACCATGCAACAAGATTGGTTTAATTTAAAAACTAGAGGCCCGATGCACGAAATTTGTGCAAGGGGCTTGGCCCTTGCAGCCCCTGCTTCGTTCGGAAGGTTGTTTGGCTGTCTGGTCTAATTAGCATATTACGCTTTTATTATTATAGATGAATTAAAATAATTGAAGCAGTTGATTTAATTTGGTTTTTAGAGGATGGAACACAAAATAGGAGATCCTTGGAAGGTGGGTGCAGCCCTCAGAAGTGAGGCATCAGGAGGACCACAGATATGAAATGCTGAGTAAAGGGATTTACTAGCTCTCAGTCACTTTTCTTTAGCTCACTGTGTTTTTAAAATTTATCTATTAGTTTCTATCATTTAAAAATGGAGCGATTTCATATAAAAGCAAAATACAATTTGGATTTCTGGATTCTTAGACAAAAATCAGAAGATTTGATAAAAGAGAGTCCATATTCCCTCATGGCCACAGTCAATGGAAGCTGAAGATTAGCCAACTATTTCAGAGCAAGGCACATCCTCCATAGCACCACAGACCCCACCACTCCCTATAGTCTTACACTTTACCCATTTTCCTCAATTTGTACCTGCTTGACTCCTATGAGATTGAGTTTGTGACTCTGTAGGCTTGAAGCATGTAAGGTTCATTTATATCCTAATTGTGGTGGAACTTGTGCCCTAGTTTCACAGTACTTTCTTTTTTTAACTGAATAATAGCCCAGGGACCCATGTTTAGCCAGAATAAGTTGTGCAGGTCCAATGAGGTACAGTCTTCACAGGGCAGGTTGACCTGAAAGTCTCAGGGAATGAAGCTATGAATGCTCAGGCATCTACCAAAGGAATATACCAAAGTGTAGTTATATTTTGACTTAATACAGAGTACCAATACTGTCAAAAAAGACAGCAGAAAGAAAATATAGATTTACCTGTGTTTAGGCTATTTCTGTAAGTGTTCATTCATTTTTACTTATTTATTGATACCGTTGGACACATGCTACTTGTGATTTTTTTTGATTATGTCCGAACTCTCCAACTTCTAGGTTGTAACCTTTAGAATACAGATTTCCAGCTCTACTTCTTTTCCATTTACTTCTTTTATCTTCATATCATTCCCATTTCCCGTAAGAGAAAACACATCACAGTGATTCATGTTTTAGAGCTGCAGGTATTCAAATGAAAGCTTCATTTCTTCACTAGCTGCTGCTTGTTTCTTTCGTTGGTTAGGGCTGGAACCCTGTAAACGTCTTGTTTTCCTCTTTTTAGGATTTAGAATGAGACAGCGCCATGTCCTCATGGAATCCACGGGGCCTGCAGGACACTGCCCGCATTTGGTCGAATCGGTTCCCTGCGAGGACCCGATGTGTTACCGATGGCTGGTATCTGAAGGCATCTGTATCCCAGATCATGGGAAATGTGGCCCGGGACATCGCATCCTGAAGGCTGTCTGCCAGAATGACCGAGGTATGTTGCACACAAACACAAGTATGTTCGAAGTGATATCTGCCCAGTGGAACAGCAGCAGTCTCTACCAGGTCACTTTCCTGAGGGGGAGAAACAGTCTATTCTAATCTTGAATATGTTTAGTTCAAGGGCCACATACTCCCTGACAAAAGAACACTATTTGATTCAAACAGTCTATTCTAATCTTGAATATGTTTAATTCAAGGGCCACATGCTGCAGTGTAAGCTGCCTTGACTTCATATGGGGCCACATACTCCCTGACAAAAGAACACTATTTGATTCTGCCTAAATGCAATACAGTGAACCTGGAAATTTCGCTGAAGCTTTTAATTTATCAAGACATAGAACACAGACATTGCCTGGGTAGTCTTCAATTTATCAGCACAGAACAACTTTTATTTGCTGCTTTGGATGTTCATATGTAACATGCTTTTATATAGCTTTTATATATTAGTAACAAATACTACATTGTAAAGATTTCAGGGCTACCACTCCTGAAAAAAATACTGAGCATCTTTTTATTCATATAGCATTAGATTGGAATCAGTTCTAGATGTAATACTAACATTTCTAAAGAACCAGTTATAAATGAAAGTTGTTGAGATTTACAAAACTAGTAACAATAGTGTATTTTCTCTATTGCCAGCCTTCTAGTACAATGGTTATTTGAAGTGAAATGTGATTTAGAAAATATGTAACTAACATAAAAATGAGAAAAGTGACACTTAAAACCTTTATCCAACAGTTAAAAAATTCGGTTTCTTGGAAGAATATTGAGTCTGTCTATTAATCAGCTCTACCATGAGAAGCGCATTTGTAATGCTCTCGGTGTGTGGAGTGAAATGTTTTGACTTATGAGATGAAGTAATACATAGAAGGGAAGTCAGAGTGGATTCCGAATGGATATTAACATCTACACGAACTTGACATTCAACAGTGCATTTCCTTGTTTCCTTGTGTGCTTCCCACCCCTTCTCCTCACTCTCTCATTGTTCTCTCTTTCCCTCTTCCTCCCTCCTTCCCAGCACTCCCTTCCTCCCCTTTTCTCATCCACATTTCCTTCCTCCTTTTTTATTTACTCCTTCTCTTTCTCAGTCTTTTTTTTAAATTATTGCTGTAATTAGACAAATATACATCTTATTAGGTGATGTAATTGGTAACCCCTGAAACCAGGTGGCTGTTTAATTAAATAGAGAGCAACAACAGATTGTATTAGCTCAGTCCTTTTTGACTAAATAGTTAAAACAAATAGTGGCTTCGAATTTTAACAAATAATTTTTGAATTGAGGTAACATATGTGCAGTTTATTAAGAGAGGCAAATGAGGTCACTTTTGTATTGCTTTCATTCGAATTCAAGAAGAGTAGTATAGAGATCGAGAACCTAAGCTTAAAACTGAGGCTCTAGTGTCTGACAGGTTGGAATTTCAAATCTGCTGCTCAGCTGCTAGATGCTTTCAGGAAAATTATTTAACTGTGGAAACATCCTTTCATTCTGCTGGAAAGTGGTGATAACAAGACCTGCCACTCATGCTCAGAATGTGAGGGTTCAATAAGTGTTGTAAAAGTGAATAGTGAGGTGCCGGGCACATAACCGTTCGAAAAGAAACTATAAGCCTATTTTATTTATAGTGTACATTTATTAGTGTTCTCTGAGCTGGGAGAATAAAGCAAAAAACATTCCTTTAGAAATAAAAATAATAATGAGGATTAGAATAACCATACTTCTTCCTCCCAACCTCTAGCTGTGGAAACAAGAGAATCATTTCTTAGGTTGAGACACAATATCAAATGACTGTGAGGCTTTGTCATTTCATAGCCCGCATTGCAGACCTGTGATGGTTTATAATGTCTGTAAGGCTTTGGACTTCTTCACATTTTGTGCTGTGCCTTGCACAGTATTGCAGAGTGTGACATTCAGATTTAAAATTAGAGATATATATTTGGTCTTCGTCCCTGTTTCTGGCACAGAGCTCTTAAAATCCAAGGAATTTCCTGAGTGATAAGAGCAATGGAAACATCTTTTGTTATTAAATTTGGTCTCTGGTCTTCTGTTCCTGAAATTGCTTTCATAACGGTGAAATGGTGTCTTATAATTCATACCAGGCCCCTTCCCAACACCACGGGTCTTATGTTGAGACTTATGGAAACCATCTAAGAACAGAGCTGGGCCAGAGGAGCTACCACAAAGAAAGGCTAGAACTTTCCTTTCCGCCCCCTGATTTTCAGGGGAGGAGCGGGGCTGGAGGTTAAATCCATCACCAATGGCCAGTGACTTCACTCATCATATCTATGCATTAAAGCCTCCATAAAAACCCAAAAGAATGAGGTTTGGTGAACACATGGAGATTTGGGGAGGGTGGCAAATGGAAGCTCCACACACTTTCCCAAACCTTGCCCTGTGCATCTCTTCCATCTGACTGCTTCTGAGTTATATCCTTTCATAATAAACTAGTGACCTAGAAAGTAAAACAGGTTTCCTGAGTTCTGTGAGCTGCTCCAGCAAATTAATGGAACCCAAGGACAGGATCTTGGGATGTATAGCCAGCTGTTCAGAACCACGGGTGTCTGAGGTGGAGGGCGGAGTTATGGGGCTGCAGAATATGATGCTGTCTTCCGGCAGGTAGTGTCAGAATTGAGTTGAATGATAGGACGATCAGCTGGTACAAATCAGAGGCAATGACTTTACCATTCTACAGCAGTTCTAGCGTTTTATTGCTTTTTCCTAGGAAAAGACTAATTTTCAGCGTTGATCTCACTCAGTTTCTTTGGGACGAAGTAGGAGTTACTGCTGGTTCATATCAGTTGCATGAATTCTTTGTGTTTTTTAAATACCTGAATGTTTCCATCATTTTGGGGCAACAGCCATGGTCATGGTTATGAGAACATGCTCGCCTCCTGATGGCTGAAGCAGTCTTCCATCCACTGAGAAACTGAACATGTGGTTTGGTTGCAGTTTCCACAGTGTAGCTGCTATGAGATTTGGGATGATTGATGATAGAAGTTCTACAGAGAAGTATTTTTGTTCGACTTCTCACACATTATTATAGTCTTTCCATAGCTGCAAGATTTGACAGACACTCATATAAATTCTTGGAATAAAAA